TAGCCCTACAACGCCCTGGTGCTGCTTGGACAAGCAGTCTCTTATTCTCATTCAAATCATTCGCACTCCGGCTCTCGACCGCTGCAAGGCGATCGAATCCCAGTCGTCCAGTATCATTCCGACGAGGGAAACTTAAAAGAGTATTTTGGTTTGTTTAATCTCTACGGTGTAGACAGACAGTAGCATAGCCTCGGGAAGGGCCTTAACCTAGGTCTACAGGGCATGAAAGGCACTTTTCGTCCTCCAGTGGCTCCCCTACGGATAGGCAAGTAGACGGCTATCTCTTAAAAGTTGCGGAACACATCTAGGAAATGGGCCTAGAAGTCGCTACGATGTGCGATAACGTCTCCAGTTCCGACGAATGACTTTCATTTCAGAAAACATCTGCTTTTCGCGAAAATTTGCGTTGGGAAGGGATATTTTAAAAAACATCAAAACTAGTTTTACAGTTTCGCTGCATCTCAAAGAGACGAGAAGATTTCATCGGTGAAGTTTGTGTGAGACTGATAGTTTCGAGGATATTACCGAAAGATCATAAAAAAATAAAAGGCACTCTAAACCCATTGGCGAGTAAAAAATGGGCTCCCATAAATTTACGACTTCCAATAATAATTCAGGTTCACAAAAATTTTGTAAATTTAAGCGACATTGTTCACAGTGAATGATTCTCTTGGGCCACAACAAAAGCCACCTACTGTGTGCGGTGTTGTCTAACCCGTTCTGCCAACCCTCGACTGTGTCCTAGTTTTTCCCACGTCTCTCTCTCTCTCTCTCTCTCTCTCTCTCTCTCTCTCTCAACCTTTTTCTAGTTTGGCGTCCTGTTTTATTTCTCTCGTTTTTCTCTGGTGTTTTAAAGGACCCTTCTCTCTCCCCTAGTGGTGAAAGGGCTCAATGAAACATGGGTTCTCTACTATTGGTCCCGCGGGCAGGGCGGGGCGGGCGGACGGCGGCCCAGGCATCCTCGGCACGTTACTCCAGGCAATCTGTGGCTCCTCCTTTGCATTGTATTACGAAGGCGTCGTGCCACCAGCCAGCCCCCCTTGCCCCCTGCTTCCGGCACGCCCCGCCACGCCCCGCCACGCCCCGCCACGCCCCGCCACGCACAAGGGAAATGTTTAATTTTCTCTCTTGAAGAGCACGAGGAATTCGGTTGCAATATCGCCTGCTGCTGCCGCCGGTCTCGGCCTGGCGGCAGCAGAGGTCCGAAGGCGGTAAGACATGCCGTCCGCCGCAAAACAATTTCCTTATTTGAATGGAAAAAGTTGTAAATAAATATGAAGGCGTGAGGGGATCGGAGCGCCCCACCGCAGCTGCAGCAGCCACCGCATTTTCTAATCCTCAGAGCGGATGTAATTGGTTCGGTCCGAGTCCTCTCGAGCTTATCGTCCATATTGGATCAGATGGGGAGGGTCACCTGATTTGCGTGGCTCCGGGAGGGGGAGGAGGGGGAGGGGGGCGTACCTGACCTGCATTCATGTTTCTTTTGGAAGAGGCCCTGCCGGCTGTGGCGGGGCGCACCCTTTCTTAAAATGCGGGGACGGGAGAGCACATTTGGCGTGTGTGTCTGTGTTTGTGTATGTGTATGTGTGTGTGTTCATGGTGTGTGTGCGTGCGTCTGTGTGTATGGTGATGCGCGCTACTGTACCTGGTCCAAGCAGCAGACTTTGAGAAGCCGCATCTTTTATTCTGCAATACCGAATCGAATACTAGTAATGGCTCGAGCCATTGCAGATCTGCAAGGCTCTTGAAGCTGGGATTGACCATTGACTGGAGAAAAGAGTGGCGGTGGGGAAGGAGGAGGGGGCAGGAAGGGAAAGTGTTGTTTCGATCCTCTGTTTCATATCAGCTCAGTCCTCCTCCCCTCTGCGTCGCACAACTTGGGCTTCACGGCGCTGTTCCACCCCATGTCGCGCTCGATGTCCTTCGTCACTCTTACTGGGGCATGTTTATTTCCGACGCCAAATCGGGATCCTATGCAGATTCCCCGCCGCAACCCCCGGCACTGAACCGACCGAGCGGAGGCCGGATAAGACACGGAGCGACTGCTATGCACTGACCGGCCGCCCTTATCCGGGGCCCTTATCCGGGGGGTGCCCAGCCGCGCTTAGCCGCGCTTAACAAATGTATGCGCATATCAAAGCGGGCTTGGACAAGGATGCCGGGGGATAGGGGGATGTCACACCTCGCTCAGAGAGAGGGAGAGAGGGTAGGGATATGCCAGTGTGGCTTTACTTGTTCGACCTCGTGTGTGCGGGTGGTGTGTGTACGTGCGTGGGCGATGCTCAGGGGTCCAGCCCCGGCCCTCATTTGTCAGATGCGCGTCAGCACACTGTGTCGCTGAGGTCAGCAGCGGTGCTGATGCTCAGACGGAGTGAGGTCTCACACTCTCATTCTCGCGCCGCCACCTTCTCTCTCTCTCTCTCTCTCTCTCTCTCTCTCTCTCTCTCTCTCTCTATCCTGTCCTCCCTCTCCTTTTCTCTCATCCTCTCTCTGCCTCTCACATTTTTTTCCTCGCTCAGCCTCCCCTGCTCCAAAGAGCTTCCTCTTCCTTTGTGCTCCTTTCCCCCCCTCCCTTGACGCACACCTACGCACGCGCGCGCACACCTACACATCACCAACACCGCAGCGTTGAGATAGTGCCGTTGGGGAATAATGCCCCCGCAACCAGAAAGTGAATTTACCTTCCGTGCCGCCCTTTTCCCTCCATAATCACTTTTAGTTAGGTCCTGTGTGTGTACTGTTTTGTACACTCCAAAAACATTCGGCGCGTTTGAAAATTATTGTTTTTTTTTAACAATGACGAACGCCCTGATACAATAATACATAGATGATCCATGGCTTGTGTCGGGAAGAGCAATGCGTTTAAAAGAACAGCGGCGGGACCGACGGGTTATGGCCTAGAAACGGATATTGCCTAAATATTTATGAAAACCGCCGCCCCTCCACCCACGGAGGACGTTGGTGAAAAAACAGGGATGTGGAGAAAAAAATCGTGCAAATATTACCCCTTTTCCCCTCCCCTCTTTTATTCTCGGCAGCGCGTCAACTCCAGCCACATTACCATACTGACGCGTTCGTTCGCGCTCACACGTCGAACCTCTTTTTTTTTCGCACCACCTTTTTTTCCTTTTTTTCTTTCTTAATTTTTTTCCTGTCTATTCTTCTCACTTTTCCTCCCTTGCTCCGCAGTGAAGCTGTTAGCCAGCCTGGGGCCGTATTACATATGCGTAGGGAAGGTGGTATCACTTCATCTCCGGTCGCATGCCCTGACATGACCGACCCTCTGATGAGAGCAGCAATTCACCCCTTCCCCCTTTTTCCTCCTCTACCTCGCTCGCGCACTGCTCTGCGCTCCCCCTGCCTTTTCCGGCCACGAAATTTTTATGTGCGGTTTGCGGCGGTGCTAGTGGAGAAGGGTGGCGCAGGCAGCCGGACAGGAAGGCAAGGGGAGGGGCAGAATGTAAAAGTAAAGGAAGATTCTCGCCTTACTAGTTAGAATGTGTCTGGGCCTAACAGACGAGGACTTTTCTTGTCCTAATTTCAAAGACGTATGTTTTTCTTACCTGTCTATATGTATTTTTTAAAATTTCTTGTTGTCTTTGCTTTTTACTTGTTAGACAATCCCGAAAGACTATCTCTACCAGAAGGGGGAGGGGATTGACAGCGCGCGCTGCCGTGCGCTGGTGGGCAGATCGGTGGGGACTGTTTTTACCTACGCGTGGGCTGTGCGGAAAACTCGAGAAAACTATAAGGGTTGTGGAGCTTCGTGGACTGGTCGAGGGGACTGTGGGTGCCGTTTTTATTACAGATAGCTGTATCGTAGATTTTTAAAAAAAAAATCTTTGGACCACCTTTCTTGTTGCGGAGTGTGGATTGGTTCTAACTGTGAACACCTTTTCGCCCGCAGGTGCTGTGGATCCGGCGGCGGGACTGGCACATCCTCACGTCGGGCACCACGACGTACACGACGGACGAGCGCTACGAGGTGGTGCACCCGGACGGCGTCAACGACGAGTGGCAGCTCGTCATCCGCTACGTGCAGAAGCGGGACAACGGCACCTACGAGTGCCAGGTGAGTAGCGCAGCGCACATCAAACGATTTCTTTTGTCGACCATCTGAAGGAGAGTAGGGGGTGCAAACGACTTCCTTCATTTGCGTTCTTGCAGGTTTTCGCAAGATCATATTTAGCCCTGTCCATGAAAAGAAATATGAGTTTTGCCTGGGTGGTGGTTGTATACGGGTGTATGTAGGGCGCGGGTCGGTTTTTTTATTTCTTTGTCGGGTGCGCGCGCGCTGCCTGTACACACATCACATTTTAGCCCTTTCACTTTTTCCCACCCCCACAGCGGCCCTTCCTCCTTTCACCCCCCGCAACCCTTTTGTCGTCCTCCTATGGGCCACTTCAGCGCTCCTGATGTTGTGATGGGCCGCCTTTTCTCCCCCC